CCTCTTCTTCCTACATTTCTGCTTTTGCCTTTCTCCTGACCTTTTTCCTCATTAAGATATATTTTACTGATTAATTTCCATATTCACTTAAATTGTACTTGCAGTTTGCGGAGGGGAAAGAGATCTTCCGAGACTATAGTTTTATGTATCGTGTGTGGTACATGACACCTGTCTTCTTCAACTTCCGGATGCGCATCTATTCGGGCTTTGTACTCTCAGAGTGTGTTTGCATCATGGCAGGTCTTGGGGCATATCCAGTCTCCTCAGAACCAAAGCCAGGTCGAGGGCCCAGCAAGTATGAAGCACTCGAATCCAGGTCAGAGCATATGCTTGGTTTTTTATATAATTACTTTTTCTCTTTATGTGCAGGTGTCAAATTATTGATAAATGATCACTGGCAATAGATTTCTATGTCTCAGTGCTAGAGTTTCTTTCTTTTTACTTTTTTGTAAAATTAAATTTGTGTGTAGATATTAATTTTTAGACATTTCTTTATTGTGACTCATCATAGCTTGTTAATGAAGAGAGAAGATTTTTTCAATAAAAACTAACAATATATAAATAGATTTTATTGAAATATAAGTTAATAAATAATAAAGAATGATAACAATAGCTAAAATTATTATATGAATAAACAGATTAAGGAAATCATTTTTTACATCAGACATCTGTAAACCATAACAATCATTTGTTTATAAGTATATCAGAATTTGAGATCAGTTGCTACTCATACCTCATTTTTTCAATCATGGTATTATCCATTTTATAAGCCCTAATGTAACAGTCATTTCATCAGCAATCCTATTACAGTGATGAGAAGGAGACAGTTCCAAAGGAGTATAACTTCGAAACCGTTCACAACATAGATGAGTTTGGAGCAGATTTCACCCCAACTGTAAGGGCAGGAATGCGTTGCTGGAACATGACTGTTCAGTATTGGCTGGCTACCAATGTTTACAAGCGAGTCACGATGGCACGACCAATCAAGTAAAGTATTCCTTTCTCTTGTGAGGATACCTTGGATAAAGTGTTTGGTTGCTACCTTTATCAAGTGTCCAAATAGTTTATAATAGTGATAAGAATGAGTAATGATCAGTATGAAAAGTCAGTGTAAATTGCTGTAGGTTGGCATCATAGTGAAGGGGAAAGTATGATTAAAAGTGACATACTTATTATTACATTGTGAAAAGCTGTAGAAAGCCTGATTATTAAATGAAAGGTTTATTTTCTATTACATAATTTCCTTGAAGTTACTTTCTCCTTCTGTGTCCGTGAATTAAGTAGATATAAAGTTATCACACCTTTTATTTATAGATTTGTCTCTATGGATACAGGTTTGTTAGTTTCTGGAGATCAATCTTGGTCTCAACAGTAAACAGAGGAAGGAGAGAGAAAAGTCAGGGATTGTTGATTGAATAAATCAGCATAAGGCAAAATATGGCTTGTACTTCCTTGCAAAAAGTTATGAACCATTTAGTATTTTCATATTCCATGTTTCTAGCTAAAGGAAGTAGGTAGAAATATCCAGTGGAAGAGAAAGGGACTTTTCAATACTTAGAACTATACCCTCTTTGTTGATGGTTTCCAACCTTAGTTCATATCCGAGATGAAGGTTATGGTAGCTTTGAAAAATAGATAAATTAGTAAGAATGCCCAAGTGCATATATGTGTTTACTTACTAGTTTGGATTATAAAGCATTATTGGGAAATATTAGCAATAAATACTAAAGTATTAATAAAATGTATGAATGCATGAGGAAGCACTGAAAATAAGCTCAAAGTTGTGACCATATAAGGTTAGAAAACACGGCTTTATATGATAGGACAGATATGTCCTTGTTTTTGCATGTACCTCAAATACATGTTGGAAATGTTGGCAGCATGTATTCTTTACTACCAAGGCTGAGATGTCCATTTTCCTACAGAGAGGCCTTGACCATGTTTACATCAGCATACTGGCATGGAGTTCATTCAGGCTACTATCTGTCGATGCTGACTGTACCATTCATCCTAGCAGTGGAAGACTACTTTGATAAACTTGTGAGGAGGAAACTTGGAGAAACGGTGAGGAATGTAGTTCTGATGGCAGTTATCTGTAGATGTTATGCATAGAATTTTTTTTTTAAGATCTCTTTATGTTTTCATTATTATTTTTTGTTATTGTTGTTATTATTTTATTATTATTATTATTATTATTATTATTATTATTATTATTATTGTTATTATTATTATTGTTATTGTTATTGTTATTGTTATTGTTATGATTATGATGATGATGATCATCATCATCATCGTCATCGTCGTGATGATGATGATGATGATGATGATGATTTATTTATTTATTTATTTATTTATTTATTTTATTATTTTAATTATATATGTTATTTATTCATTTATTTATTTGTGTGTGTGTCAGTGTCTGTGTCTGTCTGCTTGTCTGTTTGTCTGTCTTTGTCTGTGGCTGTTTAAATTTGTACTTAAATAATTATGTGTGATGCAAACCTAATCTACTCTAGAATTTATATTTGTTCGTGTAACAGTAACTAGAACCCAAATATAGACCCAGAACACAGAATTACTCATACCTTAACATTGCAGGGTCAGTATATGTATGATTGGTTTGCTTGGTTTGTGAAGATGCAGAACTTTGCCTACATGGGCATGGCATTCCTCCTCCTACGTGTGGACACCACCCTCCACTACTGGCATTCCATTGGCTACATATATCACGGCCTCCTGGTTTTCATGCACGGGATTGCGCAGTATGTCAACCTCATTTTTAGCAAGGTAAGTTTGATTGTGCAACTTGAGGTTTTTGAGTTAGTAAGGGGAATGTAAAAATTTTGATGGGAAATTACATTTCTGATGGCTTTCATTGCAGTACATGTATTCTATATATATCCAGTAAAAATTCATAAACAGTCTATGCAGAAATGTAAGTAGCAAGGTGAAAGAAAATACATATTTTTTGTATTTACCTGCTTATTATTAGAAGAAATAAGACATCACTAATATTTCATGGTACTGCCCTTGTGTTTCAAATATTCTGTCAGCCTCCTAAGGACAGAATCAGGGGAAATGAGGCCCTAGCTTCCCGGGGCCGGGGGTTCGTAACGCATTTACCAGCGGTCATTTACCATTGCGTTTACCAGTCATGGCAAAGTGGTATTCACGAAGAAATGGTAATTTGGATATGCTGAGTTACAATCGTAAATCGACTCATTCTAATGGTAGCCAACAGAGGGCTCTAGTAAAGCAATTCCACCAATCAGCGAGCGCCATACATAATCTTTTAGGTTCCTTCGGCCAATCACGTAACATGTAAACAGAACTAGACACAGCGAGATTGTTTAAATAATCGTCAGAGATAAAACGCTATTTAAGCACATGTAGAAAAAATAATATATTTATTTGATTACATCCATCATGTTGGATATATATTTACTGTACAGATACGAACCAATACAAACATTGTTATATTAATATATTATTGCTAACAAAAACCAAAGAGACATTCCAAACAGCTTTTCATTTATATATTTTTCATCATTACCAGTTTATATATCAGCAAGGCAGTTTTTTCTATAGCAATTGTAATAATTATGTCTTGAGATTTTTTTTTAAAGCTCACTTATCGGTTCCATGCATTCTAGTGTAATGTAGGCCTATAAGTTCACGAGATTTTGCGTGGATTTTATTCTTGCTAGTTCCATGTGAAATTTGCATTTCTTCACTATGTCCGCATTGTGATATCTGTTTGCCATCATATTAGTTATGTAAGGTGTAAAAACAAACCCAAAACTTTGCATAGATATTGATTTTTTTACGAGATAACATGAGAAGACATCGTCTTCTCAGAAGTTACCAGTGCTCTGACCACTGGTAAAATTTACCATGGTAACTCCAATGGCAAGTTGTTAGTGAATACCACCGCTGTCTGTTTACCATGGTAACTATAGTTACCAGTGATTTTACCATTGTAAGTGCGTTAGTGAATCCGGGCCCCGGATGGTAATCTCAAATGAGCTGGGTAGGTCTAAGTAATTATTTTGGTTCATCTTCTCATATGATAAGTGAAGCAACTCCATACCATGAGGGAAGCAGGGTGTATTACCATTTTTTTGGTATATTGCTGGAGGTGGGCATCTGAGTGAGTTTTTGACCTTCCTTCCACTTCTTCCAGTCATGGCAAATGTCTCTTCATCCAACCAAACACACTTTGCCAGGTGTCAAGGTCCATTCTTGATATTTCTTGACCTAAAGAGATGCATTTCTTTTTCTGAACACTATTGAGCCCAAAAACTTTGGACATTTGGATCATCACAATGACATTCCTGGGCAGTGTAGAGATATATTTCAATGGAGTCATGGGTTTCATTCTTTGATTTCTTGAGCTGTTATCAGAGGATTACCCTTAACCAATCTTCCCATAATTTTCTGGGTCTGTGGAGAGCTTAACTTAGCCCTACCACAGTTGCACCCTGGACCGGGTAAATTGTCCTCTTGTGAAAACATTTCAAAAGGCACTGCACACTTCTCAACCCCATTCCTGTCTTTGAGGATATATCCCTACAGTGAATGGCCTACCTTTTACAAGGCAACAACTGTTACAATATTTATCTTACATGTGGTCCTAAGTTGTAAGTCAAAAGTCAAATGAGAATCATCCATGCATGAGTTCAACAGGCATAACATTCCTTATTAAATGCAGGCAAGTTACTAATGATGTGTTGAGGTATTACAGTGTTGCCAAGAACCACCATTGCCAATAGTCACCATGCCTAAAATTTACATGTACCAGAGACCTTGCATTATGTTCATACAAGGTTACATAAAATAATTTTCTGTACCCAAATCAAGAAGTAACATTTCTGTTCATTATGTCCTTATACTTATTGTATACTTGCAGGCTCAGCAGAAGCTCAAGAAGAGTGCAGTGACTGCCCATGTTGATGATTACACCAAGGTTCGGTTTCTAAAGACCAAAGATGAAGGGAAACCAAGCAAAGAATCTGACAATCACAAATCTGTTACAGCTTCAACAAAGACAAATGGAGATGTTGTAGAGGATAAGAAGACCCAGTAGGATGATGAGCCAGAATTACGGGCACATTTGTCAGGTACTTGCAGAAAGTCGGGATTCAGGGTGTTCAATGTAATGAATGTACACTTTCTTCCTTAGCTTGTGATTTTTCTCTCTCTCTTTTCTTTTTTAGTTTTGTTTTATCCTTTGCTTTGAGGATATATACAATATTTTTGTTCCAACCCTTAATCCAATGCCGCCGGGTAAAAAAAGTTTGGCTAGAGGACATAATAACAGGAATGTTGGCACGCATCAGCATTTTTCCCTGATTGTGCACGGCTGGTTCAGTAGTTTGGGAGCGAAATTTGGCAACTAAAAGCTTTTATTTTGCTATGATTTATGAAAATATTATAATTTTGAAGGTTTACCTTCATTATAGGTGCTACTGCCTAAAATCATTATCATATAAATGAAGCCGCTACCATCAGAGAAAAAAAAACTCCGTCTGACGAGCCAATGGCGTGGGAATGGTCATGATACCATGCCATCCGTTTTTCAGTCCACAACAGCCATGGCATGTACATACATGCCACCCGGTGGCTAGTGGTTAATACTTTTTTATACAAAAGTTATCATGTTTGAAAAGGACAATAATTACAGTGACTATGATAACCGGTAACTGTTCCTCCTGAAGGTTTAACCATGTTTTAAAGACTTTTTGGAGAAATTCTTTTATTACCTTGTTCAGATTTAACCCCTTGGATCCGGTTGCATGACAGAAATCATGGAGCTGAAAACCCCGGGCAGTGGGTTACCTAAGTGGCCAGCATCCCGGGTGTGTGGCTCGTAGGCCAAGCGCACATGAATGCCCATGAGCAGTGACAAGACTCTGTGCCTCCCCTTTGAAAAGTTATTTAGCGTAAACTTTTTATGGCTTTATCGCCATTTTCCAATGTCCATTTTTGTCTTTTGATTTGCTGTATCCAAATGTCAATTAGTTATTTTCCTTGCACAGACTACATATCATCTCTCTATGTAGTAAATAGCTCAGTACAAGAAGAAAAAAATATATGGAACATTTGGTTATTTGTGTCATATATCATTGTAATTTTCAATTTTACATAATACAACCTGCACCGCCGGTCACAGCGACCAGGAATACGGTGCACAGCATGGAAATGGCGTCCTCCCTTGTTCAGTCACTGATAACGTATGTTGCATTCCACATTCGTTTATTGATGGGAATAATGCTAAAGCCCCCTTCTAAGTGCCAAATGAATCAAATTACACTCCGAGAGGTTTGTGCACTCGTGGGGAGTCTTCCATCACCCTGGCTTTTGTTCTTAATGGTTTGTTCACATCACCCGGGCTGCGGTCCATTTGCCTGGATGACGGCATGTTCACGTCACTCGGACAGCTGCCAAAGTTTTTCTTTGATGTGACCACAACATTAGCCGGGTCCAAGGGGTTAAGCATCATTCCTCAGTTTTAGAAGTATTACTGGAGACTGGCAACTGCAAAAGGGGACAAATTATATTCTGGAAGAATTTGTTATAATATATGATAAAGAACTAGAAAAGAATACCTGTTCTTTCTTTTATGATGAGAAATTGGATGTTTTTAGGGTTGGTTTGTCTTTCTGTTGCATAGTTAAGAAATTCCTTAAAATGTTCCATTTCCTTCTTTTTACTGAGCATAAGTGTTATCAACTCACACACTTGGGAAGATCAAGGAGTTGCTCATTATTGATTTTAACTGTAGAGAAAAAATGCACATAACCATGACAAGAATATTGGCTTAGAAGAGATTTGAACTAAGTATTTTCTTTCACAATATGAAGAAAGTACAGTATAATTCCAGCAAGCTAGTATTTTGAATTTTAGAATCCTCAGAAGTATAGAATTGGCCATCACATGAATATGTAAGTTAGCTAAAGGATTTCTGATATTTAATCCTATGGATTTTTGTGCATAGTTGAATGTTCTGTTATTTTCTGTTCAGTCTGTCACATATTACCTTTATGTATCCTATCCTTCATGTAACTATGATGATATGATATGAATGCTTTTTATCATTACTGTATGATTTCTTTCTGGTCATATTTTACAGGATTTTCATTGTACATGTTTACAACTTTTTAACTTGTGTAAGTGGAAAATAACCCCTTTTTATGAGATATACTCCCATTTTCCATTTAGTGGTGTGAAATCCATATATGTGCTACCATGTGTGACATGTTGATATTACATATTATTACTGGAACACAAATCCATCTCTGAAAGGGCTTTGAAATTTTGAAATACTGTTTTATTTTATTTTTTATTTTTTTTCATTCTTTTTCTTTTTTTAAATCATTATTGTGCCAGACAGCCCCATGAAATAGTTCTTGATTTCTTTATCAAATAGTATTAAAAAAAATGTAAAAAGCCAAGTCTGCATAAACAGATGAAGCAGTCCAAGTGCTGCATGGCTAAGTTAGGGATGTTTTTTTCATATATATATATATATATTATTATATTATATATATATATATATATATATATATATAATATATATATATATTATATATATATATATATATATATATATATTATATATATATATATATATATATAATATATATATATTAATATACATATATATATACATACATATATATATGTATATATGTATTAACTTTTTTTTCATGGAACTGTGTTCATGTCTGGAGGGAAGAACAAATATAAGGTTGCAGGGCTTGTTAATTCTTGTGATCTCATGTATGGAGTATTTAGTATTATGATGGTTGGAGTTAGACTTATTGGTATTTGTCAGCAGTATTTATATTGTTAATCTTTGTCAGAATGGTGCAGTATGAGGATGGGAGGACTACTGAATTATAGAGTTGGGGTATGATTAGTAAATTATTGTACAAGTAGCTCAGATTCTGGATTCACTGCTGTAGTATTGTTTGATATTTCATTATAGAAAGCTGGAATTATCATGAATGTTTTGTATCGCCCCAGAAATGTTAAATATTTTGTATTTTTTGTAGTATATATATATTTTAGAGATCCAGTGTGCTGTAGGAGTGTAGCTGTGTATATAATGGCAATTAACAAATGGAATAGAAGCCTATCTTTTGAAAGGATGGATAGTCTAGATAAGAGTGATTCACATGAAAAGGCTTTTCATTTTTTTTACATGCATTATGTAAAATCTATTGCTATCTCTCAGATAATTTATGTTTATTATAACTAATGGAAAGCATTTAGAGTGAAAGACACTGATTAGAATTTGTACTGATTGTATCTCATAGAGGAAATGATGTCAGGTAACTCAAAGAAAGCATGTATAGCTTCCATAATGTAGAATAATTGTTGTCAACAGGGTGTAAAGTCTGTAGTACTAGACTGTTCTTGTGAAGTATTGCTGCGTCTCTTAAAGTGCAAACATGGAATTAAAACCAATCACATAGTAAGAAAAGAGTGAATGGAAAACCCTTACATGGATCTGTGCCATTTATTTATTTTATTTGTTTACTGAAAAAAAGGATGGATGATGTCCAAGATGGTGCTTGTTATGTGTGCCACATAGAAATTCTTGTTAGTTAAATGCTTCAGAAGAAAGGAAGATTCAAATTTTGAGTGACTTTGGTTCTGGAAAGTATTTTTATCAAAATTGGTATTTTGAATTCTTTTATGAATAAGAAACAGAGTAATAAGGAAGAAATATATATTTTATTTATTAAAGAAATGGACTGATATGTATAATTCCTTTACTAGAATATTTACTGTGTTAATTGGTTAATTGTAGTATTCATATGCTTTTCATGCTTTCTTTTAATTGAGTGGAATAATATTTCTGATGACGTTTTTAACATTGGTAAAGCTCATTTAGCATATTTTTCCTTGGGGACAGTAAAATTGCATTCAAAATCAGATTTTTTATTATGAGTCTGGATTCTCAGAAGCTTGTAATACTTCCGGTATTTTTAAAGGTGCCATCATCTCATTGTAATAATGTAATATTCCTGTTACCGTAGACAAAATTTATCGGGAAAAGTTATAGCTACCCTTTTCAACGGAAGATCCATAGCATGTTTTGTATTAGTGTTAGCAATATGTAGTGAAAATATATTCATGCAGATTGCAGGTTGCCTATTATTTTGAAATGTTTTGTTTGTTGTTTGTAACAATGTGCATGTCTTAACTTGGAGAAAGATATCTTGTGATGTGACTTGGACTTGGGAGTTCATGTTTCTCATTAAATAATGTACTGATAATAATCACAGAGTACTATTTGCTGCAATAATAGGACCTTGACTAGTTTGGCCTTCAAGCAATTAATCATTCTCCTTGACTGATAAGTAAACCATTAGTGAGTATATTGCAATATGAAACTCTCTTGGAAAGCATTTTTGGTGGCAATGATACACCCTTTTCATAGTAAAATAAATCTGTTTCTTATGCCCATGGACCATCTCTTCAAAAACTGCAGGGTAACTGACATACAGGGTCTTTTAATAATCTGCACAGGATGATATCTAGAACAGAACCATGTAACAGATCTCAAGCACCATTTGAATTATGTGATGATTCTGTATGTACTAAGCCAGGATACTAAAAAATGGATTGAGTTGTGAAGGTAGTGCAAAAAATAAACAGGGTTCTGATAAAAAATGAAGAAACCTGTATTAAGCACAGAAAAACATGCACACAGAATCAACCATTCATTATTATCAAACATATCTCTAGAGCTATGTGTAAAGTCTTGCCATACTTTTGGAGCTATGTTTTATATAGGAGGATCTTTTGGGTATTTTCTTTCAACTAGCAATTGTTGCAATATTTGCATGTAATGAGGGACCATGTTGATGTAGCTGCATTTAATTATCATAATTTTATCAGTAAATATGATGATGATAATATTAATGAAGATAATGATAGCATTGATGCATAGCATGTAAGACCATGATGGTTTATGAGATACAGTGTGGTACCTGGCTACTCTCAGGTATTAATATATTAATGAAAAAATTTATTTCCATAGAAACATTGCTAATATTTACCTCTGCATAACTGCTTTAATGTTTTGATGGCAATACTAATAAGTGATTATCCAATTTTTATATGTGCTGTTTGCTTTCTGCATTTGTAACCAATTCATCTACTGATAAGTTGTCTTGATAATTCCATTTAAGGTATTTATTAATAGGAATGTACTATAAATAGTATTATCATTTTTTTGAGAATCTAGATTCTGATCATTGCTCTAAAGCCATTTAGAAAATAGTGGTTAATGTATGAACAATTTTTTAAAAGGAAAATCTATAAACTGTATACTTTATTTATACCTGGCTGTGAAATTGATGTAGAATCATACCATGAACAAATATATCATGCTGTGTGGATAGCTTGAATTGTATGGTATCCTCAAATATGCAGTTAAAGTGTAAGTAAAATTATTTTTTTCAGTTACTTATAATAACCTTTTGCCATTTTTGTTTTATAATTATTCTAGGTATAAATTTGGGCTCAAAGGCTAATTTTTAAAACTGATGACTGTCCACCTGTTGCAATACTCAAATATTGTTTTGTGATTTTTAATAAGAAAGAATCTTAAAGAAATAAAAAAGAAGTGAAGAGCTAAAAATAAAAGTTAAAACATAGTTTAAATATGTTGTAACTGAAACGTGAATAGAAAACCTGATGTTTTTCAGACATAAAAATGTACCCTCAACCGGCCTCTTTAAAACTCAGCTCTTACTGGGTTGCACAGTTAACATTCATATACCTTTGGAAATTGCTTGGACAATGTTCTCTGTATCGTTTAAGTAAATGGAGTGGCTTAAAACTATGTATTAGCTTTAAAACAGAAACTTTGTACTTAATTATTGGAAAAAAGTAACTGCATAATAATGTCTTTATGATTCTCATACAGGTAGACAAGATATTATTTGGGGATGATGTGTATATTTTTGTTGAAGTGCTAGTTGCTTGTTCACATGTTTGAGAATGTTATGAATATGTGGCTTAAGTATTCATAATTTTTACTTTTAAGAGTGTTTTTAATGTCTTGATGTTTCTTTTTTTGTTTGATTGTTTGTTTATTTGCTTTACAATTTTCTGTTATGATTTCTTATCAAGGATACTAAAGGAACCAAGACAGATTCGTGAATTTACAGAGTGAAATGCTTGTGTATAGTAGCACATTAACCCCTTGCTGCTGGGAAAATGTAGTGTTCACTTGTAGTATTGTTTTGTGAAATGTCTCTACACATTCCTTAAGTGCTTAACCACGAAGGAGTCAATAAGTAGATCTTGTGATCTCAGCTAATACCTTTTTTTAATAATCTTAAAAATTTATTTTACTAATGCTATCAGTATTGATGCTGATATTTTTATTATAAAATTAAAGTTATTATTTTGTTAACATTACTAAAGATAGTATGACAAAAGAATATTTTAAAAAATCAAGGAAAAGAGTAAACAGGTGAGGTTGGTAGCAATAATAAATGACTCCTTTGTGACTAAGTATTTGTGGAGCCATTTTTGTGACTTGAAGAGTCATCTATTTGTAAAGACAATAAAATAAACTCAGTGGTCATAGCATGTCTGTACGTGCCGTCCCTGACAGCATTGGGTTGAAGTGTGTATCAGTGTATCACAGAAATGAAGTATTAGCCTAATGTGGTAACTTTTATTTTTCATGAGATACTCAGGTAGGATGATACTCATATCTTCTGCACTTTTTAAAATCTAATTTTATATTTCATTAACACCTGAATCATGTTTGCTGACCTAGGGACCAACACCTAGGTTGTCTTCCAGCTGAAGTCTTTGTTATATGCACAGAAGGGAAGCACATAACATGACACTCTCCCTAGCAGATGTGTAACATTGTAAAGCTGGAGATAAACCATATATGTTTCAATTCACTATTTGGTAATATTTAATAAACTTGGTGTCTAGTCATTGCCTTTAACCCTGTTGTGAATGTGTTTGTTTTAAACTCTCCAAACGATTGTAAGAGTACTATAGTTACTTATGTAGGTACCCAATTAAAAATTAATATATTCACTGTTAAATCCATTATGTGATTATCTATGTTACAGTGTATAGATGAGACTGTAGTTGTTTGTGAGTGAAATGGAAGTTAGTGGAAATTATCATATAATTCTAATGTACTGTGTATTCAAAACAATAGCATTCAGGTTGTTCTAGGGTTACTAGGAATGTATTTTCTCTACTAGAATGTCTTTATTTGTTTATAAACATCTTCAACCTTCAGTATTTGTTCAGTGATACACTACATCAATACTGTACTGTACTTTACTTACCTTGGAGGATTTCAGAGGGAAATTATCGTGCCAAATAAAAATGTTCTCAATAAGTGATTTATGAGATAATTAGAGGTAGGAAACTGAAATTTGAATTTGTTAACTGAAGTAATATTTTTTACTGCGACTGGATTAAGAGGACATATTTTTGTAGAT